GTGGGCCGGCGGCTGCAGGAGGAAGGGTGCAGGGGGTGTGCCCGCGCCAGGGGCGGGCTGGAGGTAGAGGCTTCTTAGTATTGACTTTGCCACGGCCAGTTCCTCCCAGAGTGCTGAGACCTCAGCGAGTGGCCAGTCCCGCAACTGTGTCTCGCCACACAGTCCCAGCATGACAGACCAGGCGCCTTTCGACACCGATGTCCTCACCCTGACCCGCTTCGTCATGGAAGAGGGCAGGAAGGCCCGTGGCACGGGCGAACTGACGCAGCTGCTCAACTCGCTGTGCACTGCGGTCAAAGCCATCTCCACCGCCGTGCGCAAGGCGGGCATCGCGCACCTGTGAGTCCGGCCCTCTGGGTGTCTGCCTGGCAGCCTCATCTCTTCGCCCCATCGTCAGCTTGCTGCCAGCTTTCTTTCTGTCTGTCTGTCTGATTGATATCTAGGAGCCTCTGCGGCTCCAGCACCCTACACTCTCCCTCTATTGACTCATCTGAGAGGCTCCCACTTATAGGACCTGACTCCCTCTTCTTGTCTCTATCCTACGTCCCTTGGACCTGTCTGCACAGCCCACATTGGCTCCGAATTCGAGCACCTGGTGAAGCTAGTTAGTCAGGGAGCACTTGGCCTGTGCCCATGCTCATACCAGCCAGGGGTCACCTCAGAAAGGGAAGTGCTGGGAGAGGTGCCTTGAGACTGCCTTCTCTCCCTCTCTACTCCTGCATTTGAATAACAGGCCTGGGTTGGATCTAGTTTTCAATCTGTACCTCTCTAACTGTGAGAAAGTCCTGTTAAGAGTCCTGGGTGGACGAGGAGGAATCGTGCATGACTAGAGCTGATGGGGCAGCAGTGTTGTGCTCTTCGTTCCCCAGTGGCCAGACCCTTCCTGGGGGATTTCTGGGCTGTCCTGTAGCAGAGATATCTCCCTGAGGCTTGTGGTGGGTACCCCTAGCAGTGAGTAGATGCACTGCTATCAATTGTGCTTAAGGGGATAGGTTCATATCCTTGGAGGTGCATCATTTTAACATGGAACTGTTGCAACCTAGAAAATACAAATTTAACTAACAAGTTAAAAATACATGTGCCTAAAAGTATTATATTTTAGGGCATTATTTTTATCGTAGGAGTACGCAATGAGGGTTGCAGAGTGGATTATATTTGGGGGTAGGGGGTGGGGTTTGGGGAGGTGCAGGGGGATTGTGTACCAATGAGGGAGTTTTTCTTTTGCTTTTCAAGGAGAGGAGC